ACGCGAGGCTGGAAACTGGGTGAAAAGTGACCAGGCCATCTGGTTCCTGAAGGAGATTTCGGGCATGGAGAACGCTGAGATGTCTTGGAAGTTCTTCATTCCGACGCTTAAAGCTTTCCCGATAGGGCAAGTGGAGGCGATGCTCATGGTCATGTACGACGGGGATGGCGTTCTCCTCAAGGAGAGCACCAGGTTGGTTGCCGTTAGGCACACGCGGATCGGACGCGACTTGAGTTACAGTGCCGTTAGGCACAGGTATACTCAGGAAGATGCACCTGGCGGATCTCTGATGTATGAGATGCATTGGAATGAACTCCCCATGGTGGGATACGTCATCATGAAGTTCTCGGACTTTCGGAAGGCGGTTCAGCTCCAAAGGGTGAGGCGAAATGGAAAGGCCATGATCGAGATATTGATCACGAGGCCCGATGTGTACGAGACCATTGGGGATGGTAGGCAGGATGAGGGCCTGATCCCACTTGTGGGAGCCATGGCGCCGGATGCTGAGGTATCGCCTTCGTGGTATGTCAGGGACAGGCTGCGGAACTACTCCGGTAGGTACGTGGTGGTAATGGTGGATCTTCGGGTGCACTGGTCCTTGGTTGGACCCGTGTTTTTGACGAGAAGGAAGACTCTTGCCGTTAGGAACGAGATCCACATGGGGGCTTGGAAGGCGGCGTATATGTACGATGATTACACGATAGTGTACCATCGGGCATGGGACTACGGTGACTTCACCCCCGTTAGGGGAGAGCACAAGCGATCACGGGAAGAGATCAGGCTGAATGTGACTGCCACGTTCTGCTTGAGGTGCGCAGAATTGATGCCGAATGGGATGCACTTGTGTCCCGGGTGCGCGCTCCCGGTCTTTTACCCGAACTTTATCCCCAACGCGGAGGAAAAGGACTTCGAAACGTGCCACATCGTGCCGGAGTGGGTGAGGACCATGGGGCAGTTCAAGCCCAGGAGGATTCCCTCCGAAGTGGTCGGAGTCATCAAGAGGAATTTGATTTCCTATTCGATGGCATCCGATCTAAGGATGACGGTGCAGAGCGGCATCAGACTTCCCCCTTATCTTGGTGAAGACAAGGGAGGTGTCGATGCGGCGTGGGATGAGCTGGCGAAGGTGCTCTTCCAATTCTCCTATGTGTCCGGGATTTCGGCCTCGGATGCGTTTGTGGAGAAGTGGGTGGCGAAGCACCTGATCAAGACCAACCAAGTCGATAGATTTGAGTCGGTCACGGAGTATTTCCGAGCCAATCCAAGACACGCTGCGCAGTGGGGTAGGCGTATGACGACTTCCGTTAGGAAGTTCGCTCGTCATGACACGTACTTGTCATTCTATATCCCGATGGCATACGTGATTGGTTCTGCGGCTGGTCATCTGACCCCATTGTACCCGACCCATCGAAAGGACGTGGACATCCTGGAGAGTCATGCGTTGATGTCGCAGCTCAGGGGATACATGGTATCGGAGACAGGGTATGATGAGAAGAAGAGGTTGAAGGAGGCGATAGCCAAGGTGCAGAAGGCGATCAATGCCGGACAGTCAGAGCCTCCCGCACCATTCCGTGACCCATTCGTCTACGTTAGCGACGAAAGGGTGAGGGCGGTTCTTGACGGTCGTCAACCCGAACCATTGAACGTGGACATCGAGGGACTCCAATCAGTGCATCATGCTGCGCCGAGTCCTGGTCCCAAGCAGGAACCGGTCCCCAAGGGCGGAAAAGGAAAAGGGAAGAAGGGGGAAAAGGGCGGTAAGGGCGGTAGCCCTTCCGGCCCGCCACCAAAGTCAGGTGAAGTGCCGGGTAAAGGATCCGGTAAGGGCGGTAGCCCATCCGTCCCAAAGGCGAAGGATGACGCTGGACCTGCTCCGATGGAGGTTGATGCAGCAGCAGCTCAGCCGAAGAAGTCTTGGGCCGAGATGGTGGTTGAAGGGGCCAGGCCGAGTGCCAAGGCTAAAGTGACCCCGGTTCCCAAGGCAGAGCCGAAAGGGAAGGCTGCTTCGGCATCTGAGGCGAGGAGTGCTCCGGCTCCAAAAGCTGTGGCTAAGGAGACGAAGCAGGCCGAACCGAAGGTGAGGTCAAGAAGGAGAAGACAGGCGGAGGTGACGCTCCCGGCGGTAGCCGCGGGTCGGCCGAAGGGCAGAAGAGAGAAAGGAAGTCCCGTTGGGATCCCGACGAGGCTGCGAAGGAGTCGACAAAGCGGGAGGCATCCACGAGGCCTGGCGATGTCGACAGCAGACCAGGTGCGGCAGCGAGAGAAGCTAGCGGGGATGATCTTCACTCCGCGCTTGGCAGATCTTCGGCAAAGGATGCGGTAGCGCCTTTGACTGCCTCCAAGGCGATGGCAAAGAAGCCTGAAGGCGGGGAGATCCGGCTGCAGTCTGCTGAGCGGGCTGCGGCGAGCCCGGTGGAGGGTCACTTCCTGGTGTTGCCTGAGAGTTCGGTGGTGGACGCTTTCTTGACGATCTCCACCAACAGAGTGCTGAACAAGCAGGTTAGGGATTTCATCAGAAATGGTGAGGACGCGTCGGCACTGGAAGCTCTCAACCAGATTGTGACGAACTCTCAATCTGGGAGGAGGCGTAGGGAGTCGGATGTTTCCCGTACTCCTTCTCGGAGGTCCGTTAGGACCGTGGACACCAGGGATTCCAGAGAGTCGAGGAGGCGCAGATATCGTCCGCGGCGCGAGGATGATCGCGACAGGAGGAGGGACGATGCTCGTGATCGTCGTGATGATGATTCACTCGATCGGGAGCGGGATCGAAGGCGAGATGATCGCAGGAGATCCGAAAGGGATCGTGATAGGGACCGTGCGCGGGGCGGACGTGACCGGAGGAGACGTGACGATAGCCGGTAGGCTGAGTCACGAGGATTGCGGCCGATAGGCTTGCGTCCGTTCTCCAACGGTCGGCGCGGTGCGGAGGTGGCGATGTTCCTCCCGGACCGCTGAGGCGCGGAGGTCATGTCTCTCCCGTACCGCTGCTGAGCTGCTGGACGTGCTCATCCGGAAGCAGTGTGAGTGAGAGGGAAAGCAAACTGATGGGGGGTTACTCCCGGGTTTGCGGAATTCAGGCATTTTTCAGGTACGCATGGTCAGGAGTACCTCTTGCCGTTAGGCGAGGGTACTAATGGACATACGTTATCTTTTGTTTCATGGCTTCTGATAAGAATTAAACTTCTTGCATTTCTGATGCAAACAGTTGTGACCTATTGTCGTCATGTGGACTTTTCCACAAGGTATGTTGGACAGCGTTACCCCGATTAATTCGGGGTGGTGGCGGGAATTTAATGCCCGGGATGTCGCGCGACTGCCTTTGTGGGTTTGCTCCACCGCTGACGGCGGTAGTGTCCAGCTGTTTGCGGACGTATGCGAGCAGTTAAATCCTATCAGTAAATGGCACGCTCCACCCGTCATATGACGGGCTCCTCGTGAGGGGGGTGTGATTAGCCATGGTTCATATCATCATCAGGGATGTCGCGGTAGTGACCGACCTGTGGTGTTTGGCTCAAGTTTTGGGTTCCGTCGCGCCTCGAATGGGCGTCGCCGAACCCCTGCGTCGACCGACGGCATCTCGGGGGAGAAAGAGACCTCGGGCCGCCGCCAGGTTGGTAGGGACCAGTCGTGCGGCCTGTTGTCGACCAAGGTTGCGGGTTAACCCTTTTCTTGTTTGGTTTGTTTCCTTTTGGTTGTTGTTCTCTGGTGTGTGGGAAACCCTGATCTTTGGGACCGGGGATTGGTTTGCTTTTGGGGAACCTTTCTTTTGTGGCTTGTTTACCCCAACTTACCCATTGCCTGGGCACAGGCTCGTGCCCGAATCACAGTATGCTTCAGTTCTCCCCGGGTTTCCACTCCATTCCCTTTTTGGTCTTGAAGACATAAGAAGTGACCTTGCAGCGAACTCACCGGGAATGGGCCCCGAGCCTTTGACAAACTCGTTTGTCTAGTTTGTTCTTGCTTGCTTGCTTGCTTGCTTGCTTGCTGGCTGGCTGGCTGGCTGGCTTGCTTGCTTGCTTGCTTTGCTGGCTTGCTGGCTTGCTGGCTTGCTTCGTTTGCTTGCTTGCTGGCTTGCTTGGTTTGCTTTGTTTGCTTGCTACGTGTCGCGAGGTTGCTCAAGTTCCTGGTTCTCCCTGATTTCCCAATCCAGGGAGGTTGTTCTTGTTGCGTGAGTGTGCGTTTGCAAGGGGCCTTGGAACCACGCCCACATGCGTCGAATGCCAAAGACGTTAACATTTGAGTCTCCAGGACATGCGCTCCCTGCTGAACGAGTTTGTGGAAGAGCAGGCAATTGAGATCCGAAATGCACACGGGGCTTTGCAGCTTGGGAGGTAAACGAGATGGTCATCTCCAGTGGTTCCTGGTTCCCTGACAAAATTTCGGTCTGACAGAGAAAAACCAGGCAAACAACCAGTGGCCAAAGGGAACACGGCAACTCGTTGGAGATGCTTTACTGAAGACAATGGTGTTTCAGTTGATGCACTCCCAAAATGATTTCCGCTTGTTTCCTGTTGACAACCAAGAAGGATCTCTATTTGTGGGAAGATAGGCAAGTTGCTAGCCTTTTTCCAGACACGCCTTAAACACCGTCACAGTTGCTGGGGAAGAAACAGCTGGCGAGCTATGGATGTTTTTTTGTTGGGCTCGTATGTGAGGTCGATCGCATGGGCACCGCACAATTTGGCCGGCAACCATACTTGTTGAGAGGATGGCCTGGTGGAGATATTTGAAGCGTTCAAGTCATTTGCCAATCTACACATGCCTGGTGTGCACGAGGGCTGGAACATGCGCGAGTGCGTGTGTGCGTGTGTGCGTGTGTGTGTGTGTGTGTGTGTGTGTTTCCATTTCAGACCGGTTCCGATTGCACCATATCCTCAGACACATCATCAGAGAGAATCCACTTCAGACATGATTTGGTTTTCTTGAACGCACTCCTTGCACCTTTTGAGTGAAGTCCCTCAGTCGGCTTTTGGCGGGCGCGTTCCCCAAAGCGGCAGGCCATGTTGCGCCGGGAGCAAGACAAGCTCCACAGGCGCCGTTCTCGGACGGACGTCTGCGTGTTCTCGCCCGCCCCGAAGAAAATGGCTATGGACATAGATGTTAAAGGGTCCGAATCAATGATCATATATATATATATATATACGTCATATGCAACTCATACGGATTTAACGTGTATTATATATATAGAAAAGCAAACTTGCACGTCGTAGGATCATCGCAAAGTGTTCCTTATCAGCTTTGTGTACGGACTGCGGAAACAATGTTCGACTGCCAAATCCCCTACGTTTCTGACCGTGAGGCGTTTTCGGACAGTTGCCCTTTGGCAGAAACGGACGTGTTCATGGTGGCCAGTAAGCATTCAAATCAATTGAGCCCCTAAGTGGGGTGTTGATTCACTGATTGCCTCCCACATGTTCCCGCAACTGATCCCGCGATTGATGCCACATCATCCCGCATGGTTGGGTTACAAGGATTGCAAGGGAGCGATCCCCAGTCATCCCCGATGGTCAGAACCGGCTCGTGCGTGTGCAGCTCTCTGATCGGATGGCTCGCGCAGGCGCATTGAGAAGGCTCAGAAGAAGAGTCTGGAAAAGGTTCGGCAGGAGAGGGGGTGAGAGGCGGTGAGATGGTGTGCGCTGGGGAAGCTAGGGAGATGTTGACCATGTCATTTGATGGCTGCGGAGGCGTGTTGACCAAAGAGTGTTGGGTTCTACTGGCACTCGGATACATTGCAGGTTGTATTCATTCATTCAGCCAACAAGCTGTCAACCATATTGCGTGTTTGAATGCCTTCCAGCAGCGAGCATGGCTTAGCCTTGCAGTCTTCCTCGCTCACATCAAGGCTGCGCGGTTCGAGGGTCCTTGTTTGCGGGCAAAGTCTTGGTTTGCCACCAGCTTGAGTTGCCCAATCTGTTGCTCCATTTCTATCCACTTTCTCAACTCATGCGTTTTTCCGCATTGGCATATCCCCACACCTCACGCCTCCCTGTTGTTAAGGACAACTTCATCGGCAGCCTCATCGGGGACATGGAGCTTGAAGTGCCGGTGCCAGTGCAGCGCTCGAGGGACCAGTGGTGGGGTGCTGGCTGTTGGGCTGAAATGTTCAGCCTTGAACTTGAGGGGAGAACATGTGCTACTCCCTCATCAGCACCAGAAAATAAACTCCGAATAGATTTGAAGGACGGTGGGTCCACTTCAGGAAAACAACAGCTTGCTCATTCTAGGCAATCCATGGATTCAAGCAAAGCTAGACCTACAGATGCAGAATGTCCCAGCAACTCAGATCCCAAGAATGGTTCCGAAGCAACCGTGGGCCAACTAGTCTTTTGGCGGTTGATTCAGATTGATCCATTGCAAGGGGATGCTCTGTACATGTGATCATTCTGATTTTGTGAACCCTACAAACAAAACCCGCCGCACATCTCTGATGACTTTGCAATGGTTGCAAGACAGCATGTTTCCTCTCCGGCTGATGCAGTGCAAGACTGCATGAGGTTCAGCTGCGGGCATGGCAGACACAGCTCCACAAAAGGGTTTTCGGCGTTGTGTCCGTCATGAGACTTGTGGGAAAAGCTGGACACTCGCAAACGGCCTGTTTGTGCATCCATCTAGACAAATTATAGCGAGCTCACTGGCCTGAGGCGAGCCCCAAACCCCGAATTACGAGGTGGTTTCCGAAATAAGGATTTCTCAAATCTGTGGGGTGTTATTCGGCGCACCGGGGCGCCAAGTGTGGCCAGGTGTGCGAGATTCCGACCCCCGTAAAAAGCTTGAAAGCACATATGTTTGAGACAATCCGAGCCCCCACAGGCATCAGGTTCTCAAAAGCCAGCCGTTTCTGCTTATTTGGCCCTAAAATGCTTGCTACCGCAGTCGTTTGAGAAAATATGGCCCTTCTCTGTCTCATTAAGACTGGCGTCAAATTCCCAACAACCAGCCGTTTCTGCTTAGTTGGCCTTGAAAAGCTTGAAAACACAGATATAGATGTTTGAGACAATCCGGCCCTTCTCTGTCTTTCATTGAGGCGGGCATCAGGTTCTCCAACACCAGCCGTTTCTGCTTATTTGGCCTGAAGAAACTTGAAACACACATGTTCGAGAAAGTCCGGGGCCCTTCGCTGTCTCTCGTTAAGACACATCAAGCTGTCAAAAACCAGCCGATTCTGCTTAATTGGCCTTCAAACGCTTGAAAATACACTCGTTTGAGAAATCCGGCCCTTCTCTTTCTCTCATTAAGACTGGCCTCAACTTCTCAAAAACCAGCCGTTTCTGCTTAATTGGCCTTGAAAAGCTTGAAAACACATGCGTTTGAGAAAATCCGGCCCTTCTCTGTCCCTCATTCAGACTGGCCTCAACTTCTCAAAAACCAGCCGTTTCTGCTTAATTGGCCTTGAAAAGCTTGAGAGAAAATCCGGCCCTTCTCTGTCCCTCATTCAGACTGGCCTCAACTTCTCAAAAACCAGCTTAATTGGCCTTGAACAGCTTGAAAACACACGCGTTT